CTCCGCCGGCCCGCCGTCGCTGCCTTCAGACTGGCTCGGCGCTGTCTCCCCTTCCGGGGGGGCCACGACCTGCGTCCCCACGTGGCTGTTGTTCAAGGGGCTGTTCCTGCTGCTGTGGTAGCTCTCGGAGTGGCTGTTGTGGATGCTCCCGCTCTCGCTGGAGGGGTGGTCCGAGGCAGGGCCCCGCAGCATTTTCAAGCGGTGATGCTTCCCTTCCCGGTACTGCTTCGGTCTGCTCTTATGGTTCCTGCGGCCGTGGAGGTTGTTGGCGTGCCGGGTTGCGCCGGTTTTGTCAGGCTCCTCGTAAGAGGCCGGGCGGGCCGGACAGGCGTCCGTCTGGCTCTGTGCCACCTGCAGGTTGGTGAGCTTGCAGTGGCCCACAGTCGAGTTGGTGCTGCTGGGCGACGAGGAGGACTTGATGGAATGGGCTGCCTCCGGGTTGCACCCGATGAAGACCTGTGAGCCGTCCTCCACCGCCACGCCGGGATGGACGTACGCCTGCATAGGCAATGCGTTCCTGTAGGACGGGCAGCAGCTGAACCAGGAGTTGAGCACGTCCCGACGCCGCACGCAGTGGTGAATGAAGATGAAGAGCCCCAGCACCACGGCTGTGACTCCATAGAGGCAGCTGAAGATGACGTTCAGGTACCAGCGCTGCGATACAGCCATGGCTCCAAACGTCCACAGGGCCACGTACAAGGAATGCGTGGTGACCAGTGCCCAGAATTGCACCTGTAGGGAGTAGATGCCGTCCACCTCAGGGCAGGGCGTCCCTGAGTTCAGCGTCACTGAGATGGACCCGGAGTCTGTCAAGAGATTCCCACTGCCTCCCAGCCTTGGCGGTGTCTCGAGCGGCTCGGGGGCATCTTTCCGGCTCGACGATTGGCACCGGAGGTTGAGCCCGGCGCAGAGGAAGTAAATCCAGGTAATGAGCACAATGAAAGCCACGGGAACATAGAAAGCACCGAGGCTGGGCCTCCACACCAGCCAGCAGCTGTAAGGGAGAAAAGGGGGCTCAGATCAGCAGACCCACAGCCTGCCTGCCCAGCGGCCACGCGGAGCTTTCTGCTGCAGCCCCCGTCCCAGCCCTCGGCGCTCGGCACCCTTCCCCCAG